ACGATGAGCATTGGTGTGTATAACCGTCATAGGTGGTTCCGCCGGGTGTATATAATTTTGTCTCTAGCTCACCGGGACTGAATTTTATATCGGTTTTGAATCAATCTTACCCAATTTGTTATAGGACAGGGTCTGGTTGTAAAATCATGGAACCAATCTTCATTCAGGTTGGTTCTAGGGTCTAGGAGTTTACTATATTCGAACCAGTCYGGTAAATTGGTCTTGATTGGCCTTGGTGGAACCGGCCTGCGGATTGAACTTGCCTTAAAATAAACCCTACAATATTTTTAAAGATGTGGAGATTTGAAGTCAAACACCCATGGTTACAAAAGTCATGGTCTCATTTGACCATTGAGTTACTTAAGTGATCTAATAATTTGTTTTCAATTCTGGGTGTAGTTTTATACCCATGTTAAKTCCAAATGCGCGTAAAAAATACACTCACCATTTACACTGTTCTTCCAAATGCATAACAGTGAAAAATAATATCCGACTAGTTCAACTTTTGTATTTACACATCTGACCAWTTTTCATTTACATTAGTGTATTTTTGTATTTACACCTCAAACAAAGGAAGCCTTAAGATTGATAGAAAAAAAAAGGTAGGAAAAGAGAAAAATGTCCTTAATTGTTTAATTTTTTTTTAAAGCAGGCGTTCTTTTTCTTGATTTTGAAAGGGGAGAAAGTTGGTCAATGGGATTTTGATTCCCATTGACCAAAAATCCCATGTTTTTTTTTTTTTTTTCAGTTTTATGTGGAGACCAGGGAAAGTTTATTTTATTGGGTATCACWTACCTAGATAAGTGATAACTAGGTAAGTGATACCTAAGTAAGTAGGGGTGTAAATGGATCAAATTCGAATCGGTTCAGGCAATATCTGAATCGAATCCAATATCCGACAGATATTAAAAATTAATATCCGAATTCGAATCTGATTAAGTATTCGAATATTYGATCCAATTCGAATTCGATTAAATAATTATTTTAGATCATTAATAAATATATAAAATACATATTTTATTGATGTAAAGTCTATAAATATATAAATTATCTATATAACTTAATTATTATATATAAATTATATAAATTATTTTATATTATATATAAGAAATAAATAATCGGTCGAATTCGGACATTTATCGAATCAAATCAGGTCATATCCAAATTCGAATTTGATTAACTATTCGGTATGAATAGGATATCCAAATTCGATCGATTAGATATTTGAATTATCTAAATTCGATTCGATTGTATTGAATATCGAATTTGAAATCGAAATCGAATTTTCGAATACCGTTGACACCCCCTACAGGTAAGTGATACCCATCTCCTAGGTGGGTAAATAATTTTCACACCTTGGGGGAAAATTGCCAACACTTGAATGAGACAAAAATGCCCCTTGTAATAATGGATTTTTATGACTAAAATGGTCATTGTCTTATTTGCATAAAAAATAAAAGAACATGATTAAATGCACTTACCCAGATAAATATTTCCCAAAAAATTACCCAAATAAATAACTTACCAAAAAATGAAACTTGACTTGTTTGAGAATGGCTCCACAGGGAACAGGAACTCGTAATGTAACAATATACAGCCGATGCCTGGGCCGTAAATTTGTTCAGGATTATGGCCCCCGTTGGACACGAAGCCCGAAGTATTATTAAGGCATACAGCATCTATGTTTTCCTATTTTCAATTATAAAGTATTAATATCATCACTTACTAAATTATGTTTGACACAAAATATGTAGTTAAAAAATATCTGACGATACCTGAAAACAATTATAAAGGCAAGGTTAAATTTAACAAAAATTTAAATTCAGAATACGTTATATCGGGCCTACAATAGCTTGTTGCACTTGCACCCAATGAGAAGTTGAGTTCAGATCTGGCCTATCTAGTAAATGGGCTTCAAAGTTAGGAACAAAGCTAAAAACACCCAAGCTCAGCCCACCATGGCCCATGGAACCTCTCTAATCCCGTGGAGCAGGGATTTCTTTCTCGTATACGAATACGAGACGCGATTGGAGTTTATGACCAACGAGGATACGGCGGGGAATACCTAAATAAATAAATAAATAAAACTGAACTGAAGTCTGAAGGCGCCTTGGAGAAGTAGAGTTTCGAGAGCGAGGCGGAGGAGTAGGAGTAGCAGTAGAGTAGAAGTGGAGTTTTAAATACTTCGATCGGAGTTGGAGAAGTAGGGAATAATTAACTTGGAGCTACAGATTGATTGATGGCGGAGGCCTTGATGTGCCACGCTTGTGGCAACGTGGGGTTAGACAGCTGCAATGACGGTTTCTATTACTGCCTCCGATGTGGCTCTCAAGCCGAAGACATCGTAGAGACAGGCGTCGCCGACGAAGACTTCTTGGACAAAGGCGATGCTCGTGGTGCTATTTACACAGCTGGTCACCGTCGCCATAAATTCCAACGTCAGACGGTTATCAAAGTTGAACCCTTGTCTCAGTCTCAACCCCCTTATTATCAAACCCCACACACTCAACAGTCCCAGTTTTGGAAATCTCTAGGCCTATCTGAAGAACACCCTATCCATAAGGCTGTTATCAAGAAGGAAGAACCGGATTATGAAGAAATGAGGCCCTCTGTGCCCAACGACTTTGCTTCCACTTCTAGAGGCTTGAGTCCGGAGGATTATTACTCTCAGGTTAGGGTTAGGTATGTTATGGGAATTCAGCTTATGATTCAATTCCAATGTCAGGCTCTAGTCGAGAAATTCGGTGTCAGTCCCTTGATATGCAGCTTGTCTGGTGTGATTTGGCTGCGTTTAGTTGCTGTATCTCGGGTTTTCGATGATGGGTGGGCTGATGAGGCCATGCTGGATTCTGAGGTTCAGGCAGAAGGCAATTAGTACTTTCTATATCTCCTATTTTCTTATCTTTTAAGTATATATGCATTTTTGATTTCGATTTATTCATCCACATATCTTACTATAACATTTACGTCTTCAAATAGTATTGGGCCGATTGTGATTATAATGATGATTATGGGTCTAAATGCCAGTTTGGAGTATCTATTGCCCATAACTATTTAATGAAAATTAATGTTACTAGGTACAAACCTGAGGCACATTTTGAATTTTGATGGATGGCAATACAAAAGATAACTTTATAAAAAAAAGACAACTTTTAGGATTCTGTGCTTGCCTTTTAAATTCCTCATTCCCTCTGATTTTTGATGTATTCATATTCTGTTATAGCCCAAAATACAATAGGCATATATTTCATAGCATGAATCTGATTTGTTCTTTGATGTATGTTTTTGTTATATCCATTCCAGCATGATGTTATATCAATTATTTTTGGAACTGAACTGGTTTCTTGCTAATTACCTTGTCATACTTATTTGCCCAAATTGGGAGTCAAATAATGACTCCAAGAAAATGTTTGAGGGAACTGGAATTCATGTAGAAACTTGTAAAGACTTGTTGGAAGTATTTTTTGACTATGATATTGATGACATAGTGCATCCACCTGATTTAGTTCATTGATCAGTGGGTTGATGTGTTATAGCATTTGCAATTTTGATGTCTTATGATAGAGTCCAGCGTAAGCTCCAAAAAATAAAAGAAAAGAAATTTGTCCATTTATGTGTATCATGGATGTGCTTTTGTTACTCTCTCTCTCTCTCTCTTCTCTATTTTATATACTATACCTCTTCTCCCCAAGCTATATATTGTGCTTCTAAGGTTCTTCCAATTACTCAATCCCTTTTCTAAATTGGTGGCAGCAGAACCAGAAGTTCACAAGCCTCGTGCTAAATACAGTGCGGAACCTCATAATATTCATGGTCAAAGGGCAGTAATAATATGGATTAAATCTTTGAAAAAGAAGATACCACTGTCTTGTTCTCTAGCAGTTTCTTATCTGGCTTGCCATATTGCCAGGGAGGCTATCCTACCAACAGACATATTGAGATGGACTTTAGAGGGGAAGCTTCCATATCTTGCTGCTTTTGTGGACATTGAAAAATTATTTGGACAACCATCAAGTGCATGCCCAGTAAGTTCCAGATTGATGTTTAGACCTTCTCGAGCTGTTGGATTGCAGAAACTAGAATCAATGGCAGCTTCTATTGCTCAGTCTATAGGCCTTCAAATGCCTCCAGTTAACTTCTATGCAATAGCTTACCGTTATCTCAATGAGCTCTCTCTTCCTGTGGAAAAGATTCTTCCTCATGCATCTCGCATTTATGAGTGGTTGATGCCTCCGGAATTATGGTTATCGGCAAATGAATTCAGACTTCCAACTCGTGTTTGTGTAATGTCTATAATAATGGTGGCAATAAGGATTTTATATAACATCAATGGCTTTGGGATTTGGGAAGCAAGTTTATCCAGTTCTGGTTGTTCCTCTTCCTCGTGCAACCAGGAGGGAAGATTTAAACCCATTTGCAAGTCTGCAAAGAGGAGTGACAATAAAAATGAGTGTTCTCCTTCTAGTGATTCACTTAAAATAGGTGAAGAACAGCTCAGAAGCCCATCACGTTTTCAGAAATCTGAAATGGAGTTGGCAGAATTCCTACATGATCTTGAAACAACATATGACAAGATTTGTTACTCACATGGTAGGTCTTTGCAGTGTAGTTTTGAAAAGTTGAACCTAGATCTGTGTTGGTGTTTATGTATTAAAAAAATTCTCAACCTTTGAAGGGGCAGTGTTTTGATTCTGAAGATGCTGTTTGCTACTTCCTTCTTATTGTTGACAGAGTACACAAAAGACTTGCAGACGTATCTCAGATATTGTAAGGATGTTGTCTTTGCTGGGCTAGAACCAACCATTGAGGATAATGAGGAAGAGAAGATAATAGAGCAGCTGTGGGATTTCTATGAGAAGCAAGAGGTGATTTATACTTACAGCAATTAGCTTTTTAATGGTGGATTCTTTTAACTGTCATGCTTTTGATGAATGGGGTTGTGGAAAATTTCATGATCTTTTAAGTTGGGATCTGCTAAGGCTGTGTTTGATTTGGTAGAAAATAAAAGAGAAGCAGAAAGTTGAGGGTAAGTTCTTGAGGAGTGTGAAAGTTTCTAAGAATTTTTCCTCAACTTTCTGTTTCTCTCTTGTTTTCTATCAAACCAAACATAGCGTTGAGATTTTCTAAAATAATTGACTGGCTGCTGGACCTCTTGTTATTGGACCAGTACTGTATTGCCCGGTAAATTAATTTAAATTTATTGCATAATAAAAGTTAAACAGATTACTGTAGTTTGTAACTATTCTTCTAAGCTCAAAACATGATTACCCCTTAATGCTAGCTAGTCAAAATGAGAAATTAGGAGACATGAGATATTTGGAACAATGTTTTAAAATGCGTAGGTGTGATGTGAAGCATTCCACTACCTAGAGGCGTGAGGCATAGTTTAGAATGCAAGAGGTGTAAGCCTCTTTAGCACAAGGATGTGTAAGCCTCCTTAAGATGAGGATGAGGAAGAAGAGGAAGAAAGAAGCAGAGGAAGAAAGAATTCTAGTTCTTTTTTTCCCTTCAACGAAAGATATCTTGTATTAAGAAGAACAAGGATGCACAACACCTATTCATCAAAAAAAAAAAAAAGGATGCACAACACCTTCATTTCCCTTACCTTTTGTTGTCTTTCTTTTCTTTTTTTTTTTCTTTCTTTCTATATGAGGCATATGCCTCAGTGGCATTCAGGCATCAATGCCCCTAGCATATGCTTCAGGGCATTATGAGTGTGCTTTGCCTTTAAAAAGCATTGATTTAAAATGTTCTGCTTACCTGTGTCAGTATGGTATGAGTGCTGGGCACCAGATGTCTATGCAGGGTGTAATTTTTGAGTGTCTTGTTGTACTATTGTTTATTTTATTAACCTTGTACAATAACCTTATATGCTTTATGTTTGTATCTGTATATAAGTGAAATTGTCGTAAAGTCAGCTATGCTGTATGGAGCAGAGTGTTGGACAGTCAAGAAACAACATGTCAAAAAAAATGAGTGTGGCAGAAATGTGTATTTTGAAATGGATGAGTGGAAAAAGAAATTAGAAAGGATAGAGTTATAAATGAAATCATTCAGAGGAACCTAGGAGTAGCTTCAAGAAGTAATGAAATGAGAGAAAGTGGACTAAGATGGTTTGGTTATGTGTATATAAGGCCTTGTCAACACCATAAGAAGAAGTGATCTGTTGCAAGTTGAATGGGCTAAAGAGGTAGGTGTAGATCAAAAAGGACATGGACTGAAGTAGAAAGAAATGATTTAAGTGCTAATAATTTAACAATGGATATGACATTAAACAGAATGAAATGGCGAAACAAGATTCATCATTCATGTAGCCAACCCCATATAGTTGGGATAAGTTTCGGATGATGATGGTTATAAATTTCTTTATATTGGCCTGTGATGGAAACTATGTTTTAAATTATTAGGTGTGAGGCAAAGCACTATCACCTCTAGATGCATGAGGTGTAAAGCTCATGAGTCAAGAAACATCATCTTTCTATTGAAACATTAAATAAAATGGAAGAAGTTCTGTAAATGTTCAATAAGGATATTTCTATGTTGGAAAGATACTTTTTGATCAGTACCATGTTGGAAAGATGCTTTTTGATTGGTACCATATTCAAAAGATATAGATAAAAGAGACCTATGTAGAAATAACCAGAAATCGACCCAGGTGGAAGTAGAAATAAGAGAGAAGAAAGAGAAAGAATAGAGAAGAAACTAGGGATGGAGAGCAAGAGAGATTGTACAACTGGCTCAACTGCTGCCCTCTTTCATTGATTTAATAATGGAATGATAAAGTTACAACTTAAACCCTCTTATGTTATGTAATGAAAGAAATAAAGAAGAAAAGTCACATATAACCCTGCTGACCAAACAAATGAGGACAAAGGATTTCTAACAGATTACCAGCAAATTATTACAAAAATGGAAAGTTATGCTTCAATCAAAATTAACTTTTTTCTGTTTGTTTACATATTATGATATGATGTTCTACTCTTCATGAAGAAATATGAATGAAACCCTTCATTGCCTATTAGGAAAGCTGTTAAAATAAAATTAGACCTCAATAGGGTTGTAAAAACCCTACATTTATAAGCATTATAAATAAAGCATTTGTCTAAACCAATAGAGCATATAAAATGTAATATTTAATATGTTTCAATTAATGTATGTGACATATTCATGAAAGAAAAGTGCTTCAACATGATATGTTAAAGATATTTCTATATATTAAGGGGCTGAATGTAACAGAAACAAAGTTCACCAACTAGTGAAAACCAAGTAATAGGTTATTAGTGGCATGTGATGTAAGAAACTAAATGCCAAATCTTTTCCACAGAATCCTAATACTCTAAGCCAGGCAATATTTTATTGTCATGGGCAGTAATTAAAACCACACAAGAAATATTAACTATAAAAGCCTCCAAAGATCAACCTCATATTTCAAACATTAGCCTTTTTCTCTCAGCATATGTGCTTTGAAGGAGCAAGACTGAACAAAATATGTTTATGGCTAGAAAATTCATTTGAAGTTATAATGCAATAACATAAGATATTGGCATTTGATGCAAATTATTAGGTGGTTGATTTGGTAATAGACATCCTAATGTAGCATAGGTGTAGTGTCTGTTGAAAACAGAACTGTGGTTGGTGTGGAAAGATTTTAAGGATGAAGTAGTAGGGTTTTTGTATGCTGTCTATAAACCATAGAGAAGTAAATCTGATAAGAAACTTGATTAAAGAAGTAAAAAAAGTGAGAAAGGAAGAAGAAAACAACAGAATAGAAGAAGGGGTGGAGAAGAAGAAGAGGGTTCAATAATCACCTCTCTCCCCTCACTAATCCTTTTATTAATCTTCACTAATGTGGTTAATTAGAAACCAGCCCTTAAGTGGGGTGTCCAGCTAAGAATAAACTTAAAATAACTTAAAAGAAGTTAACATGCCCATTAACATACAAAATAAATAACCTACTATTGAAACATAAAATAGACACTAGGGCCCATTCGGCCCAATCTCTCTACACTCCCCCTCAAATTGAGCGTAGATGTCAATCATGCCCAACTTGCTTATATAGTGTGTCAGCTTTCCTTTTGGAATACCTTTAGTCAAGTCATCAACCAACAACTCTTCTGAAGAAATAAATGGCAAGCAAACCTCTCCTGAAGCAATTCCTTCCCGTATAAAATGTCTATCAACCTCTATGTGCTTAGTTTTGTCATGTTGAACAGGATTATGTGCAATGTTGATAGCATCTTGGTTGTCACAGTAGAGCATCATTGACTTTTCATAGACAACACTGAACTTTTCTAGAAGTGATCTCAGGCACAGTAATTCCGACACTCCATGTGCCATTTCCCTGGAGTGCCTTTCAAATAACACAAAACTCTTTTTGTAGCAGCTAAATGTGTCTTTGGGAGAATGCATAAACTGATTAATAACACTCATTGCATAGGAAATATCTGACAGAGTCATGCAAAGATATAACAATTTTCCAAGTAGTCTCTGAAACACTCCCCTATCAGGCAACAGTTCACCATTAGTGGTAGAGAGCTTATGATTGGGATATATAGGGGTGGAAGCTGGTTTAACACCAAGTTTATTAGTCTTTGCAAGGAGGTCAAGAACATACTTGCGTTGAGAAATGAAGATACCATCATTGGATCAAACAACTTCATTTCCCAAGAAATATCTGAGATCCCTCAAATCCTTGATTTCAAATTCAAAGTTAAGAAATATTTTGAGCTTAATCACTTCCTGGGTGTCATTACTCGTGACCACAATGTCATCAACATAAACAATAAAAAAAGTCACCAAAGAGTTACTTCTTTTTAGAAACAAAGTATGGCCAGATTGGGTATGTGTCACCAAAGGATACAAGAGCAGCTCTGAATCTCTCAAACCAGACTCGAGGAGACTATTTGAGACCATAACTAGGTTTTTGCAGTTTACACACCTTTCCTTGCATTTCCTTTCCATACACCCCTGAAGGCAAATACATATAGACCTCTTCATGGAGGTCTCTATTCAAAAAGGCATTTTTAACATCAAACTGGTGAAGGGGCCGGGCCAATCAAAAGTAGCAGCTAGAGACAACAAAACTCAAATTGAAGTCATCTTGGCCACAAGAGCAAAGGTTTCAAGGTAGTCAATACCATACATCTGAGTGTAGCCTTTAGCAACCAATCAAGCCTTAAACCTCTCAAATAGTGCCATCAGAATGGTACTTAATGGTGAACACCCATTTACAACCCACTAGTTCATTCTTTTCAAGCAAATACACAATATCCCAGGTATGGTTCTTATTGCCAAGCATCAAGTTCAGTCATCATAGCATCCCTCCATTCAGGTTTGGATAGGGCTTCTGGTACAGACCTGGGAATCAAATGGGTAAAAACAGAGGCAAGAAAAAGAGTAATAGGTAGGGGATAGAAGGCTATAGGGCAGGTGTTTGGAGATATAATGTGTTGTACACTTTCACTTGCCTTTTTGAAGGGAAGTAGGAAGGTCAAGGTCTGGGAAGGTAGGTGGGTTAGAGGAGGGTTGACCTGTTACCTCAATAGTGATGGGAGGTGCAAGAAGTTCTACGGAAGGAGTGGAAACAACTTGCCCATGCCTGAATATTTGCCGTTAGTACTACCTTTGGAGCACAGGATGTGAAGGAAATGTAGGAGGATGAGCTGGAGGAGGAGGGGGAGCAAGAACATGTGGTGGAGACACAGTGGAAGGGGATGCATCAGAAGAAAATGATTCAGTAGGAGACTCAAAAGGAATTGGAAGAGGAACAGTTGGAGACATAGCAAATGGCTCTTCAGGGTGCTCCCCCTTGGGAGAAATACCAAAGAAAGGAATGGACTCAACAAATGTGACATCCCTAGAGACAAAGCGGGTGCCACGAGCCGGATCAAAACAAAAATATCCCTTTTGTGTGGAGGCATATCCTAGAAAGACACACTTATGTGCCTTAGGCTTAAATTTGTGTCTCTGATGATTATGAACATGTACATAGCAAGTGCACCCAAAGGCTCAGAGAGGAAGAGAAAAGAGATCCCCATCCGGAAAGAAAAGGTTAAACGGGGTTTTGAAACCCAGAATCTAAGAAGGCATATGGTTAATCAAGAAGGTGGCAATAAGGACAACATCCCCTCAAAATTTAATAAGAACATGAGATACAGAAAGGAGGCATCGAGCAACCTCAACCACATGGCGGTTCTTCCTTTCCGCCACTCCATTCTGTTATGGAGTGTAGGAACAGGAACTCTGATGAATAATCCCAAAGGTCTCAAAGTAGGATGAAAGATTATTCTCAAAATATTCGTTAGCATTATCAGATCGGAATATTTTGATCCGTGTATTAAACTAGGTAAGGATAAGCTCATGAAAAATTTTCATAATAGTTGGTACTTCATCCTGGGATCTAATGAGATAAATCCAAGTATAGCGAGAATAATCATCAATAAAGAGAATAAAATATCTGTAACCCCCCCATAGTAGGCAAATGATATGGCCCCCACACATCAGAGTGCACAATATGAAAAAGAGAAATGGATATTTTATTGCTTACTGAATAAGATTGTCTACAATGCTTTGCAAGTTCACAAGACTCACAATGAAGACTCGAAAAAGACACTCCCTTAAACATATCAGGAAACAAATGACTCAAGGTTGAAAAAGGTAAATGACCAAACCGCAAATGATATTACATGACTTTATCAATAGACTCTGACACAAGAGACTCCAAAGCTACTCCATTAGGTGGTCTAAGACTCTTATCAGGTGTGCCCAACAAGTATATTCCATTCGCCTCATGGTTACTCCCAATCGTCCTCTAAAATTTTAGGTCCTAAAAAACACAATGGGTAAGAAAAAAGGTTATGCTACAGTTCATGGATTTAGTCATGTTACTAATAGATAAAAGATTGGTATTAAGCGTGGGGACATGAAGAGTAGAGGATAAGACAAGTGCGTCAGAGGTGTTGGTATCTCCTTTTCCAGAGATGGGAGCAAGAGACCCCTCAGCAAGAGATATCTTCTCTCTACTAGAGAGGAGCTGATAGGAACAAAAGAGGTTAGATAAACTGGTCATATGGTCTGATGCATCGGAATCAATAATCTAAGGGATTTTATGATTATTTGAAATAGAAGCATGATTTGCAAAAGCACAAGTACCTGAGTGAGCAAATGCAAATGATGAAGTGCTACCAGAAGGGTTGGATGCTGTTACAGTGGTTTCCAAGTGATTTAGTAACCTCTCATACTTCTCAAACTTTGCTTTTATTGCTGCTAGCTGCTCCATAGCTAACTTTTCTTCACTCTCTTGTTCCTTCCTTAAGGTACTGTGGCAACATTAGTATTCTTAGGCTTTCCTGTCTGACCATTCTTCTTAAAATTGTTGTTATTATTGTTATTCCGAAACCTGTTCGAGAGAAGTTCATGATGGAGTTTCCAACAAGTGTCCTTAGTATGCCTTGGTTTCTTGCAGTATTCACATATTACTTCTTTGTCTTCGATTGGACCTTTCGGCTTTATTCCAACATGTGCAAAATGCTTTGTAGGTGGACTCTATAATTGCACATGTCGCCTACTCTCTTCACTGCTTACCATAGCATATGCCTAAGCAAGAGTGATTTCATTCTTTGCTAGAATATTTTGTCTAGTAATGTCGAACTTAGGGTTGAGTCCTGTAAGAAACTCAAACACCCTGTTTCGTTCCACTAGGTTCCTAAAAGTCTCTGCATCATCAATACTCTCCCAAACAACTATCTTCATAACATCAATTTCCTGCCATAGTGATTTTAGCATGGAATAGTAGATCGCTACACTCTTCTCCCCCTGTCTTAGATTTTTCACATCGCTTTTCAGCTTATAGACTCTTGCCACATTCAACTTCTATTAATATGTTTCTGTAACACTAACCCAAATTTCCTTGGCTGAAGACATCCAAAGATAATGCTGACTTATATGGGGCTGCGTAGAATTAACCAACCATTCAATAACAGTGTAGTTCTCCTGCATCCATTTCTCATATATAGGGTCTGTTTCTATTGGTTTTACCTTACTGCATGTGAGATATCCTACTACAGACATGAATCTGTATAGACAGTGCCCAAGCTAGACAATTGGTGCCATCTAGCTTGATTGTGGTCACTCTAGTAAAAAAGGAATCTACCAGGCCAACCTCGGATACCATCATCTGCTTCGATTCACTTTCGGAATGCTCCATTGATCAAACGAAAATAAAAAGAACCAGTTTTCCAGTCTATATAAAACTTAACTGAGGTCAATACAATACTCGGAGACTTGAAAACTAGGGTTTCACTGCACTTGGCTGTCGGGGAGGAAGAGAGAAGAGGTAACTGCTCCTACCATAGCTTTCAAACCACCTACAAGTCTCAGCTGCACACTTCTAGAGATCAAACTACACTCTACACCTCCCAAGTCCCAAGCGCCACACCCAAATCTTCTCCTTGACCTATAACTTGAAAGCTCTCTAGTTGGCTAGGGTTTTGGGCAGAAAAGTACAGTTCCATTTCTTGGCAGTTTTCGGCCAGATTCTAACTCTCCAAACCCTCTACCAACTAGGCAAAAATATTCTTTGATCTATCAGGAACTTATCTCTCCATACACACTCTTAATCAAAGGGTGTATGGGAAAAGTGAAAAGAAAAAAGAGGGAAAACCTGCTCTGATATCAAGAAGTAAATCTGATAAGAAACTTAGTTAAAGAAGTAAAAAAGTGAGAAAGGAAGAAGAAAAAAGGCAGAATAGAAGAAGGGGATGGAGAAGAAGAAGGGGAAGAAGAAGAGGGTTCAATAATCACCTCTCTCCCCTCACTAATCCTTTTATTAATCTTCACTAATGTGGTTAATTACAAATCAGCCCTTAAGTGGGGCGTCCAGCTAAGCATAAACTTAAAATAACTTAAAAGAAGTTAACAGGCCTATAAGACAGGCTCATTAGCATACAAAATAAATTACCTACTACTAAAACATAAAATAGAGACTAGGGCCCATTCGGCCTAGTCTGTCTACACATAGCAGCAGGAATACAAGCTCTGGACGAAGAGCTACATATGTAAATGTTGCATTCTAGAAATTAGAACACGAGAAACATAAGAGAGAAGAGAATCAAAATTAGGCTATTGCAACAGAAAGCATCAGAGAAAATAGAAGAGTAGAATTAGCAAATGAGACAAAGAATAGAAGAAGAGAAAGGAGGGGAGAGAAAGAAGGTCCTTTACAGATCACACAGGAAAACACAAAAATTAAGTTGTATGCTGGATTATGTAGTTCTTTTATCATATCATTCATGATATATAAGTACTTCTTGTTGTGTGTTTTACTGAGCTACCTTCTACTTTAGAATGCATAAGTACTTATTGTATACAGACTTTATATTTAGCATTGTTGTCAATAGTGCCTTGGTGCAAATGCGAAGTGTTGGCCTGCAATGGTGCTAGACAACGATAATGAAGGAACTTCAATATGGTTCTTGCTATTGGTTCCATGGTGAGTGTCATGATAATCATAAATAGTGACTATTGTAAGTGCCATATTGAAGTCCAGAAAAAGGTGTTTTTCATGTCTATACAGACAAGTTATTTGTATTGTTTGTATACAAAGAGAAAACGTTGGCTTTCCATGTTTGACAGCCTGTGCTGTTCATAGGCTCTCAATGTCACATTTTAGTCCACACAACTATGCCTCCAGAACTGTTACTGTTCCATGGAGTCTGTATGGACTAGCATGATGTCGCAGGAAGAGACCTGTGTACAGAAATTCAGGTGGTATTCATCAAAATTCATGGAGGGGTTTTGATTGGTCAAAGCCCTTCCAATATCATGCCTTTCTGTCACCATATATTTGCCCTACTGTCAAAAATAGACTGATAGGCCCTCAACTAACCATTCAGGCCTACGACAGGGGACCCAGGCCCAAGACACTCAGCGACCAGGCCCTGCACAAGAGAAGCACCTGATCACCCATGTGCAACCTCCACTGAGGTTCGTTTACATGAGGAGGTCACGCCCCTCCAGTTAGTTATCAGTCGCAGTCGAGTCCATGTGCATGAGAGGTGGAGGGGAGAGTATAAATAATTGTAAGCCCCTTCTATTCGGCAAGAAAGAAAACCCTATTATTCTCCTTCCTTCTCCTCATCTTCTTCTTCCCTTCTCTTCTTCCTCTCTTCTTCTACTCTGTTTCAGGAGGGTGAGCTCCCTCGAACCAGCTCAGAATTTCAGAATTCCAAACGGATCTATCATAGACAGCCAATTTTTTTTCCATATACAAATAATGTTTACAGTTCACTTTTTTTCATACATGTAACCTTGCATTGTCTTGAGTCTCTTAACACAGAATTATGTATGTGTGTGTATAAACCATTGGTATTGTCTTTACAAAACTATCATTGTATATGCCCTCTGACTGTTTTTCTGTTGTTGTCCTCCTTTCCTTTTCTATGCAAAAGGGCATCCCCAATAATTCTTCTTATTGTCTATTTTTTTAGTTTTTTATTTATTGTTTTTTTGGTTGATGTAAACTGCAAGGCTATTTTTTTTGGGTTCTGAAACACCATATCTCTTTCTCTCTCTGCAGCTAATTGCTTTATTCTTTACATTTTTAATGTCTATAATTTGATTTTTTTTTTACATTTTTTGTCTTTAAACATTTGCTTATGTGAGTGTCTGTGTATCAGTGCAATGCTTCAATGTGCTAAGCACCAATTTGGCACCATGGTAATAGGGGGCCCTATTTCTGTAGTGGTGCCATTGCCATTAATAACTACCTTGACCGTTAGGTATATTTGCTAACGATATAAATATGTTAATACTGGGTGCTTAAAAGTCTGTTCACAATTGTAGGATTCTGAACCATCAAAGGTAGCAGGGATAGGATGCTGTAATGGCTTGAACCATAAAAGATCTAAAGATGGAGCTGTGAGTAGTCTGCCTACAGAAAACAAGAAGCGTAGGGAAGAGGTGTGCATTAGCAGCATATCCATAGGTAACAAGAGACCTGGAGATGAAGGTTGTACTGGTGAAATATCTTCAGATAACGGAATCTCTGATGTGGACACTTTTACAAAGTGGAGTTTGGATGCCAATGATTGTTCTCTTAGTTCACAAGAGCAAAGTTCAGTACCTGAGGGTAGTTCTTCGGCTGAGACCCTTAAAGACAAAGCCCTTAGACAATTGAAAATAAATATGGAAGAAAATAGGTTCTATTACATTCCCCCAAGGGTCAACCCCAAGAGATTTGATTATATCCATTATGTTCGGAAGAATGATGGTGGGTCTCGGACTTATGTTGCACATGCAGATTATTACATCTTGCTTCGTGCCTGTGCAAGGCTTGCTCAAGTTGACCTTCGGAATATGCATGCTGGGGTACTAAAGCTGGAGAGAAGACTGGCTTGGGTTGAACATAGGATCGGCCACTGCTTGCAATTGTGGTCCTCAATGAAAGAGTCCTTAGATGGATGAATTCAAACATTAAGGGGTCTTGCACATTGAGATTATTACATGTTTCCTTTGTCTTTTCATGAAGATAAGTTTACATTTGGAATATGCGTGCCGAATTGTTGAATGTCAGGACAAGGCTGGCTTGGGTTGAGAACATCATTCATCCTTGTTGTGGTTGGGGGTACCTAATGTTTCTTGTGACTTTAGTGGGGATGTGAAGCTTCACCAAGGTATTGATTCATTTGTTTTTTAGATTCTATATTTGCAATTGAAAACTTTTTTTATTATATCTTATTAGCATCTAATTTTGCCCATTTTTCTTACAAAAGGAAGAAAACATATATGAAATGACATGCTTAATTTACTGGTTTCTCCTAGACTCCTACCAAAAAAAGTTACTGGTCTCATTTATGCATAAGAGCTTGATATTCTTGATTGTTGTTTGCTTCCACAAGACATATCATGCTCTATTACAGATTTAGTTGTAAAAAATCACAAACTGAATAGTTAACCATTGCCACAATTTCATTGTTGTCAACACCATGCAATTGTCAATCCCAACTCCCAAATCCCAGTGTTAACCTCAAGTTTGTTATTCTCATCCAAGTATGAGAAAACCTTACCTTGACCACTGGTAAAGAGATAAAGAAATGGAACCCTATATGATCTGCATCGAAGGATGGAACCGTGGAAGGATGATGCCATTGATGCTTTTGAGGTTCAAAAATAAGAAAACTACTTTATATTTCTTACTTCATTTACTTTTCTCCATGGTTTTCATTATAATCTGTGTTGGATGGACTCTTCCTACTGGTTGTAAATGTTCATGTCTGATGGCCTCCAACATTTCATGGATTCTTTAGGCACATTTCTATGTAATTACATTTTCCCTTTGTTAATTTGACACAAAAATAACAGCTAGTTTAACTGTTTTTTTTATCCTTTTGTATGGGCATAAGATGTTAGTACTCAAAATATGTTTCTTTGGCTGTACTCAAAATATGTTAAGTATTTTAATAGCATGTACATTAATTTAATGTTAAGGAAAGGCCATTGGCCAATGTTGGTACCAACTACTTGGGATCTTGGGCAGGGTAGACTACTATGGTCCTAACCTTTGACATTTTGTTTTGGTACAAAGTGGCCACCCTCAGACTCGAATCCATGTTCTCATGCATGCCATCCCGAGATTTTCCATTACACCAAGTAATTTTTTTGAAGATAAATAAAGAAAAATTTTTTATTAAAAAGAAGCAAGTACAACAAAACTAGGTGACAGGATGGAAATCGGCTTCAGTGCTCACAAGACTGCTCACACTGTCTGCACAGCCTTTTACAGCCCTACATTGGGAATATCTCTGTACATTTATGTTTTTTTTTTCATGGGGAGATATTCCCAATGCAAGGCTGTGCGAACGGTGTGAGCACAGGTCTTGTGAGCACTGAAGTCAATTTTGACAAGATGTCACCCCCACCAGAAACAAAGAGAGACAATACATAAGCCACCAAAAACACAACTTTCAGGATAAAAAAATAGACATTAGAATGCCTTTTATGAATTCAGAGAAGTCCGGAAATCAGCACCAAAATCTTCTTTCTTCAGCCCAAGAAATTTTGGAAGCAGCAACACCCAACCAATAACTGTCGAACTGATGACAGCTACCACCTCTTCCATTTTTTTCTTTTTCTCCTAAAAAATTCTTCTGTTTCTTTCCTTCCAGGTCTCCCAACAAACAGCAAAGGGAATACAGGCCCATAAAATCTTAGTTTTAACACCATCTTGGATTCTTGGCTAGCAGCTAAAGTTATCAACCGGGTCTGACATAGAGCACCTATTCACCTTGAACAGCTTGAAGAAATATGACCAGACTGAAGTTGTAAAGCTGCATTGAAGCAATAGGTGAAGAACATTTTCATCTCCAGCAAAACACAGCACACACCTACTTGGAAACCGATAACCTCTGAGCTTAATGTTGTCCTGAGTTAAAATGCACCCTCTAGCAATCAGCGAAGCAAAGGCTTCAGCCCTTGGAGGCACTGGTTTCCCCCAGACACCCCTAACTGATCAGCCTCCACCTGATTTCTGATCAGAGCCATACACATTGACTTGACTGTGAACTTCCCATCCTTACACTCTTTCCATAATCTGCTATCTGCAGCTGAGGGATTGATTTCCAAGGCCTGAAGCTTTGCCAACAGCTCCAAACACTCCACCTCCCAGTCAAAAAGGAGTCTTCTGAAGTTTGGATTCCAAACCACAACACCACAAATTACTTCATAGTATCCTGAAATAGGCACTTCCTTCTTGCCCAGATTGTATAACTTTGGGCAGATTTCACAGAATTTCCCAACCCCGACCAACCATCTTCCTAAAACCTTATAAACCATTCCCTACTTTCCATGTATAAAAAGGAATCATCAAAGAGTTAAATCTCATGATCCCTTTCCATACACTAACACCATACGAGTGTCTCACTTCCTTTGAATTCCACTCAAAGTTCACCACCCCATACTTACACACCACCACTCTCCTCCAAAGGGCCTCCCTTTCTCTCCCAAACCTCCAAATCCACTTCCCCAATAAAGCTTTGTTGAGTAATCCTACCCTTCTCACCCCTACACCTCCATCTTTTTTAGATCTGCACACCACGTCCCATTTAACCAAGTGAAACTTCTCTCTCTCAGCCCTAACATTCCACAAAAATTCCTCTGAATGCTCTCAATCTCTCCCACCGCAACAGCTGGAGCCTTTAGTAAAGATAGTAAAATGGCAGGTTTGAGAGAACACTTTTTATCAAGGTTATTTTCCCCGCACAGGACAGGAATTTCCCCTTCCAGCCCGCCAATCTTTGATCAATTCTGTCTAAAACAGGTTGCCAGGTAGATGCAGAAGCAGCCCTATCCCCAATTGGAATTCCAAGATAAGAAAAAGGAAATTCCCCAACCAGACACCCCATGGCCCTAGCACAATCTTCAGGCACCGGCTGCTCTATATCTCCCACCCCTATCCTTGTGCTCTTACTTAAATTAATCTTAAGTCCAGACAGTAATTGGAAACACTTGAGATTACTTCTTAGAGAATAGGCCTGCTCAACTGATGCACCCATGAATATTAAGGTGTCATCAGCATATTGCAAGTGCGAGATGGATGATCAAATCTTCACTTCCAACCCTGAACCCAAAAATCAGCCCCACTTCCCTTCCCTTTTATCAATCAACTTGCTCAAAACTTCCACCACCAACACAAACAGAAAAGGGGAGAGGGGATCCCCTTGCCTTAAACCCCTTGAAGAACCGAAGAACTCATTTGTTTAATATTCCCAAAGTCAATTTTTTGTCGTGCTGAGTCAGACTACTGAAAATGTGTCTGGTTCTGGTTCTCACATCCTGTTTAGGCTGACTAAGAAGTTTTTCTATCATTGTAAGTGCCATTTCCTTTTCATTCAAATTTGGTAAAATGTGTAAGGTGTAAGTCAAGTAAAGTAAATTAATATACATATTTAAAAGGTAAATCACTGTTTGTAAAACCGACCTAAAACTAGAACTGCTTTTCTGTTTGGGTGGTGGTTTAGTGGTTTAATTGTATTGCATCAAATGTGTTCATTCATTCATCCTATTTTCTAATGTTGTTCATTCTTTAGCAAAGGCAATTAAAATTATAAAATCATCTTTTTTGTGTAAGGATTAAGAATTTAAGACGCTAACACGAACTTATTTGAGCTCGCCTCAAGGGGCTTGGCCGGGGCTCCGGAGCCCCTGGCCCAGCTGCTAGGTTCAAAAAAAGAACAAAAAGTGCAAAATTTAAAAAAAAAAGGTGCATGCCTGGTCTGAAGCGCAAGGCATACCAGGCGTATGCCTTTTGAAAGTGCTGCGCCTTGGGCCTAGGCAAGTTGCATAAAACAATTCAGTAGTGAACTGGACCTTGAATTCAGGTGAGATGATGGGTTGACTGGTCCAACTGGCAGGTTCATCTGGGCTTTCCCATATTAATCAATAAAATTATATTTTTAAAAATTAAAATTTTATCTAAGTATTTATTTAAAATTGTAGAATATATATACACTATAAATATTATTTGTAATATATATATATATAGTAAAGAAGATATATGCAACCATTAGAACTAATGGAATTGGGACTCCAATGGAATTGTTGGCAGGTGATCTGGACTCCAATGGATTTGGGATCTTCTTCCAACAAAACACGTTCCAACCCTCTACCAACTTGATCTAACACCAGACATCTCACCATGAGACTAGGACCCGCCATTATGAGATGTGCGGTGTGAGATCATATTGGTAGAGAGTTGGTATGTGTTTTGTTGGCAGGTAATCCGGATTCCAAGCAATGACAGGACCTTGAGTTGACTGCTACACTAACGGTACATTTTCACTTGACCTATTTCTAGTCTCTGAAATTTGAAAACACTATTATGTTTGGTTTTTTGGACGTGATGGGCAAGACTCCCGAGGTTAAAGATTTCCTTTCTGGGGCTGATCTATTTTCCTTCTTTTCCATTGCCTTTTATAAGGTGTACATTGTGCATGATAAAAACTAATTTTCAACCATTTCTAATAATTAGCCATTTTGATTCCTCAGCATCATTTCTTCTAGGGAAGCCTTGGCTATCTCTTGTTTGGTGGTTAATTGGGTTATTAGTATGTTCCTTCAGTGTCTACTGTGGCCCCTTCCTTGCCCCCAAACCTGCTTGATACCCACCTTAGCATAACTAGAAAGATGGTTAATGAAAGACATTTGAAGGGAAAGGAGAACCACCATCAAATTAAACAATAATGAATGATCATAGTCTCTTTACATGAATTACTGACCCCTTTATAGGTCATTCCTTCAACCTGCTAAGTGGGCATTGAGTTTTTCTTGCAGAGTGGCCTTCATCTCCTTATGGCTAAGCAAGAGTTCTTCCTAATTCCTATGACACCTTGACCTATCCACTATTCCACATTTCCACTATCTCAACCAATAATCCTTATTTGACACATAAACTCAATTCTAAAACAGACATTGACACAAACTCTATAACTCTAGTTAGAACAACTACCATCTTGCATGTATATGTGTTGGTTGCATGTTAACATGGAGCCCATGATGCTAGTTATTACTTACAAGTTATTTTCTGTTCTGCTCCTCAATGGACTTGAGGGTTCTCACCTTATTTGCTTTATATCTTCAATCCACTCAAATTGACATAGCTCTGCAGAACTGTGTACCATTTCCAACCAACTAAGTACTGGATAAATGGTAATTAATCCTACTACACCTTTGTGAACCTCATACTGTTCTTGTCTCATTGTTTGTCATTGTACATGCTGTGATTGTTGAATGGTCAAATGGGGACAAAATTCTGCATATTGCATATTGTGTATAACTATTTTGCTTTCTAGGTTTTGAACCATCATCAAGTCTTTGTGTAGGTATTATTTAAACTGAGTTGTGAGGGAAATTATAGTTCAAACATAACAGTATAAGTTATAAAGAATTACTCTGTGTACCTTTTGCAGGATCAATATATATAAGGAAATTTATCATCAGTTCTACCAACACAACCCATTTGGTGCAGTTTGGTGTTAATTTGAATGGGCACACACCAGTTGGCTGATCTCATCAAATGAATTCATTATGATCCTACTTTTTATCTGTCTTGTCATTCAATATTATTGGTTGCTAATCTGGTTCTGCTGTTGTCATCCCTGAGAAGAAACCTGCCATAACTGGCATAGATCTGTTAAATGACAGGTTCAGAATTTTCATTGCTCAAAATCTCTCTGATCCATATGAAGCCACTGGAAGACATATGGTTCCCATCAATGGCATCAATACAATCTCATTCAGGTAAATCAAAACCGAATCAATTCATGAACATCTTTGTTTCTTCCATTTGTTGGACAATTACTGATTGGATTATTTGGACAAAAACCTACAAAAAACCAATGTGGAACTTAGCAAGTCAATTAAGTGGCCTTGTTATTATTCCAGCCTGTACGTTTTTGGTGTTCTGGGGCAAAAAGAACAACTATTCATCATGCCCGGAACATCAGAAGCATTACTGGCAGAGTTACCAGATAATGTCTTAGTGATTCAGTGTGAACCAGTGCACACCGAAACAAAAAATTGGTTGACTTGGCTAGGACCAGGATTTAAGAAATGACAAATGAGTCAGTGACTCACCTGGTCTGACATCAGTCTTCCAGTGAAATACTGCAGGTTCTATTTCACAGGATTCGGAGGCAGGTTTCGCTTGATAATCATTGAAATTGAACATCCATGATGAGACCAAATAGTTTTGCCTAATAAGTAACTTAAGGGAAGATGGTGCTTAAATTTCAGGGTTGCAGTCTCAACCCTCAGGCTCAGTTTGGGAAGAGTGCAAATACAAGGTTTAGAAATACTATATATAGGGTTTTCCAGTGTACATATTTGTATTTGTACTCTTTCCAAACTGAGCATCAGTTTGGGAAATACAATATATATATATATATATATATATATATATATATTCCCAAACTGTTCCCAATTCTCTGTCACTCTGCTACAACTAGCCAGATAACTAGCCACTATTTATATTCTCTGATATATATTCTCAAACTGATCCCAATTCTCTGGCACTCTGCTACAACTAGCCAGATAACTAGCCACTATCAGTTGAAGTTTGGAGTGTACTTAAATGCAGGTGCCCACTTTCAGATGCTTCTTGATACAATTAGTTCAAGGAAATTTTGACATTTAAGTACAATAAGTTTCATTTCATTTGTTGGTCTTTAAAGATCCTTATATTGTTGATTACAATGATGGTTTCTTATGCACTTGACCAATATGCTAAAAGTCTTAGGATTGTTGGAATGTGTAAAGCCAAGCTAATTAGACTGAAATATATACCATACCTCCATAGCTGAAAGCCCCACTCTTACTCTGGCAGTTTTAAGGGTCATTTGGGAGGGCTGATCTGAGGAATCCGCTAAGCTGGTTCAGCTGCTTTGTAGCAGTCCATATAAGCTATTCAAAGAGGCTTTGGATTGACGTTGGGTATGCTTCTAATGATCTTGCTTAACTTCTAGCACTGGGTTACAGGTACATCATCCTGGATTCCGACTCTATCAATGGTTACTGCCATCAAGGAGCTGAGATGTTTATCATGGAGAAGTGAATACTTGTTTATATATTAGATCGTGACTGGGTTGTTCAAGTGTAGCATTGTTATGAAGGATGTGCTGGTATACCAGCTAATATGGCTATAGGTCAAGTAGGTAGTTTAAGACTTCAAGTACTATGCTTCTCTTCCTAGTGATGCCGTTCAGAATCTTATGTATGACTGGGGAAATGGTTTTGTAGTTCTTATCTGTTGTTAGTTATCTTCTGAATATTATAAAAAAGAAGAGACTAAAGCGGACAGCCCTTCAAATTGCCTATTGGCAGCCATTTGTCTTATTCTGAAATTTTCACCATATAGTGCTCGTTTGGAAGGGCTTTCATGCAATGGTTTCTTTCTTCACACATGTTCTGGACTCAAATATGTGTATTTTCACATATAGTCACCATATAGTGCCTGTAAAGCTCAAATATGTGTATTTTCTGCTAAGAAATCGACTTTCCTGTGAAGCTAGTTTTAGTGGTTTCTTCAAATCGGCTTAATCAATGTTCAAAGCTTAAGCCCTCTCAAACCTGCTTATAGGCTGTCTGTGTGGGGGCCACCTCAGAAAGCCAAGGGCACTTTGGTTGAATGGTTGCAAGTAGTTCTTTCTCTGGGGGTCTCACTCTAATAGATACCCATCCGACAATGGACCTTTTCCTTTCCCTTTGGTGGCTCTCACTTAGGTTCGAATCACAAAAATGATGATTGTCAATACCTAAAGTTTGATACCATTTGTTCTATACTGGGCCAATACGTCAACAGTTCAAGAACCATTGGGACACGTAAAGCCAAGTTGTTCAGGCGTTAAGCATCTTTAAGATCATACATGCTTTCTGAAAATAATTTTTATTTTTAAAGAGGCAAGCTTTTTAAATTACCCCTACTGTTTAGTAATTGAATTCTTACTGTTTAATTATTGTTTTAAACCATTCTTACTGTTTTTAATAATTGATTAGCTCTACCCTGTCGTTAACATTCATACACACGTGGAATCATGTGACATAATTTTTTTAAAACCTAATATTACCCTTTGTCCTTTTGTAAGTCGGGTAAAAGCAATATTTTCGAACCATCGTTGACCTGGATGGTTGGACTGTTCGGACTGGAAACCGTTCAGGCGACTGGTTCCGTTTTACTTCAAATCCGATCTCTGGTAAAAAACCATTAAATTAGTCAACAAACTGTTGACCCAGATGGTTTGACCGTTGAACTGTTTGACCTGGAGAATGGTTTGTGGTTTATTAACCTGTAACAAGAAAATGAAAAGGGAAGATCTCTCAGATCTGAGATCTACTGAGAGGAATGTGTGAGACAGAGAGATCTCACATTTAGATATCTGGGAGAGAAGTTTAGAGTCTTTAGACTCTAGATGACAGATCTGAGAGAGAGAGAGAGAGAGAGATTTAAACAGAGAAATCTCAGATCTATTCCCGTTTTTCACCATCGTCGCTGCTATTGCAGCCATCGCCATCGCCTCTGTAAGTCACTGCCGCCGTCGCCGTCGCCGCTGCAGCCTTCAAGCCCTCCTCTTCCTTCTTTTTCTTCTAAACTCTTTTAGCCGACAACTTCTCAAATACCTCTCATTCCATTTTTATTTTCTCTTTATATTTATATGCATCTTACCCTAATATTCTAATCTAATATGTAAAATGATATATCACTGTTAAAATACTCAAATCGTCCGAACTGTTTGACCCGGATGGTTGAACTGCTGACCTGGAAACCAGTGACTAGAACGGTTCCGTTTCTGGGTGGGATTTTAAAACCTTGGGTAAAAGTCGCCGTTTGTGAGCGGGATTTTTACACTGGTTTTCAGATCCAATGTTTCTATAAGCTTAGCAGGGTTCCAGGAAGTGCTGAATTTCTTTCTGTTTATCTTTTTTTCAAGGTAATTCAGTGCTTTATGTTTCTTTGCTTTTAACTAAAATCCTGCATCTCTTTCTCTCTGGCAAAGCAACTGTCATTCTTGCACATGGGTATGGAGGACATCAGTCTGTTTGGGACAGAATTCATACCTGGCTCAACGTTGCCGTGTCTTAGTCTTCGATCGGTGCTTTTCCGGCGCCGTGATCCATCTGAACCTCTTCGACCCGCTCCTCTGGTACTCTGATGATTGGGTTCTCTCTCTCTGTGACAATGGAGGACCAGGAGGAGGAGACAGGTCGAAGCTGTAGCTCAGCCTGGGCCTGGGGTTTAGCCGTTCGCCTCCACTCCTGGAGGGTTTGGTGACGATGCCACCCAGAAGAGAAAATGTTGAAAGCAAGAGCTAAAAGGGAATATTGACTTAAATTGTTTTTCAGCAACTCTGATATTTGAGCTTCTGCATCAGATCTTTCTAAACCATCTCTTTGGATCAGTTTCACTGAAGGTCTTCCATTGCTTTATTAGTTTTCTTGATTTTCTCCGAGTCCACCATTACAGGGGGAAGTAATAGCCCAGATCATCTCTCCCATTGACCAACAAGTTTTCAGAATTAAAATTAGAGAAATCTTTTAGCTCTTTGGTTATTAATGTTTAATGGTTTTCTGCAGACAATGATGCTGAATGACAGAATCCAGAACCTCAATACTCTCCAGTCTGTTTTGAGTAAGGTAGAGGAATATATCTACACAGTTGCTCCAGATATGCCATATTCAGAGAGCTTGATCACAAGTTCCAGGAGCTTGGTCTGGAGTGGAGAAGGGGTGGGGTGACACTGCTGAACGTGTATTAGAGATGATAAACCAAGAAAATCCCTGTGGTCTTCAATGTTGTTATCCTTTCACCCCATGGTTACTTTGCCCAGAACGTGGAGGTCAGGTATGTTCATATAAGAGAAACATAGTTCAGTCCTTTGTTGCTTGCAGTTACAGGTCTGAGTTAATAATCCTGCTTATTAAAATTCCTCTGCAGATTGTGTATATTTTGGATCAAGTTCGTGCCTTGGAGAGTGAGATGCTTTAACGCATATGACAGCAAACTTGATATAATCCCTTGAATCTTAGAAAACGGTGATTCATTGCTCTTGCATTCGCTCTCTATTTTTTCCCTCTCGACTTCTTCGTCTTTGACAACAACCGGAAGAAACTCTTAGAGAAAGGTGATTCGAAGATTTGGAGGGTATGCGTCTCTCTCTAGCCTGTCTCTTTCGAGGGGAGAATGAACAGTGTTTTTCATGGAAGTGATTAAGGGCAAAAGGGACATTTTATCATTTTTGTTACGTGATTGTGGGAAACAATAAAGATGGTTTAAGATAATACTTAAACAATAAGGCTGAGTTTGGAAGGAGTACAGTGCAAAACCTTATATTTTGTATTATTTTGTGTTCTACATATTTGCATTTGTACTCTTTCCAAACAGAACTTAAGGCTCAGTTTGGAAGGAGTACAAATACAAATGTGTACAGTGCAAATATATACAAAATACAAGGTTTTGCACTCTACAAATTTGCATTTGTACTCCTTCCAAACTGAGCCTAAGGTACAACTTATCAGTTAACTAGCTAAAACTGCTAAACAGTAGGGGTAGTTTAAAAAATTTGCCCTTCTAAAAATCACCCTGCAGTCTTTTATTGTTCCTATTTCCTGATCTCAAAATATTTTTTTTCTTTGATAATCTAAAACGTTATAGTAATTAATAAACAATAAAAATAGTTCCATATGAAAGTATCTTCCTTGAAAACTTTCAAATTGTTGAAAATAATTTAAGTTTGAACCTGTGGGATTTGACTCCGGATCTCCTGCCCACAAGAAATCTGCCCACATCTACCCACAATACACTACCCTTGTGAATTGGGAACATTTCCCCCTACATAATACTATGTAAGAGGATGAATTGTTCTCCATGTGTGACTGCCATGTTATGTGGGTAGACGTGGGCAGGAGATCCGGACTTTGGAATTCAACCATCTCATTAGGGTACGGGGAAGGGTAAACTAAAACAGTGGTTTTTGAAAACGGACTTAAATATATTAGATTCCCAAATTCAGAATCTGAAACCCCATAGAGGTCTATGATTTTGTTCTAACAGCAACTGATTGGTGGTGCAACTCGCATCGGATGGGGCATTAGAATGAAATTTGTAGTTAACCATATCTTGTACCCCACATGCACATTTCAGTGCATTGGGAACATCTCCGGTACTTGGGAGATGTTCCCAATACACGGTTGGGATGTGTTGTGGGATGTTTTTGGGGAGCATTTTGTGGGGCATAGATGTGAATTGGTTTATAACTTTGTAGAGAGTAGAGATGATTCCGGTGAGGAGTTCAAATCACCTACTAACAAAATATGTTCCAACCCTATACCAACAAGATCTTACACTGACCATAAAAACAAGTAGTATGATCTAAGATGTTGGGTGGGAGCAAGGTTTAGCTTAGGGATGACTATTTCTACCATACTCAGTGGGTATATCTGCCCCTACCTTCCTTGATGGACGGGTTTGTTGCTTACATGATGGGTTTTAGGTTGGGTACGGGTTTTGAGATTCTACAACCGGTACGAGTACAGGTAGAGTATGGTATTTGGCTAAATCCAATCCTCCATGACTTACATATTGTTAGAAAGCATACAAGTTTTATGTAATAGGTGTTGAATTTAATAATATTTTGAATTTTATGTGAAGGATAATTGATAATTTATGGATTTCCAACATGTCTTACTCAAATAATTAGAAATCTTGATGTTTATTTGTGTTATTTTACTTAGTTATTGCTTATATATGACAAGAAATAATAAGAAATTAGATGTGAGTTTTAAATCCAACCCACCCCTACTTGAATGTGGGGAGGGTAGGGTTGGAGAGAGTTTATGAGGGTTTGGATTCTCAAAATCCAACCCACTATGGATTTTGCTATTTTGGGGCAGAAACGGATTAGGAAGTTTAGGGAGGCAAGTGGAGTTTGAAATTTACAAAACCGTCTCCCCACCTACTTTGTTGGCATCCCTAGTTTGGTTGAATGTTTTAACTGTGTAGCAGGCTGTGGAACCAATGATAAGGTTCGTCCTGCACCTATAGCTCATGAATGTATTACTGTTGTCGAAGCGTTCAAGTAATCCGAATTCGGGTGGATATGTCACAACAGCCGACCCGACCGTCAATTGTTAACGGTACCGCTCGGAAATGTCAAACAGTACCCATTTTTTCCTCTGGCGCACGTTAGCCACAGTCTTTGAATTGGTGGTTATGGACTTTGTGGGTTTAGGTGGAGAAGGCTCCTCCCGACGTCCAGGCGTGGAAAAATATCAGCAGAAATATAAGAAATAAAAAAAAATGCATTCAAAGCCTGACTGACACTTCTTCAGCGCTGACCCTAACCCTAGATCCGCTCCCCTTCCACAGCTATGGCATCCTCTGCAACATTATACCTCTCCCCATCCACTACCCGCTTTTCCAGTAAAAATTATCCATCTTCTCTTTCTCGGTTTCCACAGTTCCGACAATTCTTAGCAATCAAAGCCTCAGCCACTTTATATGATTCCAAGGTTTCCACCGCCGATAAATCCTCGATCCCATTGAAGGTATGACAGACTCGTCTTCTTAATTGTCTTGCTAGTTGGTCTCCCTGATTTCTTCTTTCATATGTTTTTATGAAATACAAATGCTTTGCTGATTTTCTTTTCCCATGGTATGATGGTATCGTTTTAAATTCAGAATTGACACTTTATGAATTGTCGGAACACTTAAACCCCTACTACCGGAAACAAGATTGAACCTTTCTTGCTAAATTTTTAGTCAATTATCCGTCAATTGTGCTTGAAAGTAGCTCTCCATAGAAAAGATTTAGAACATGATCTTAGTCAAAAGAACTAGGCCGACATTTTTATGTGTTCTAGAACTTGAATCCACTTAATGAAATAACACCCCCCTCCCTACAAGCTAGTAAAACTCAAATTAACACTCCACAGGTTTTTACAAATAAGATGTCAACTAAACCAGTTTCAGGATTTTACCTGGTTATGAATGCCATGCTAATCTTTTTTTCCCTTTCTGTTTCTTTTCTTATACTAACTCTATTATGAATAAGCTTTATCAGGCAACAAATGGTTGTCTTACTTCTTATTGCTTGTGGTTTTTCTCAGACCGGTATTTGGCAGTGGAAGTTCAACGACAATTCTGTTAAAATTTATTATGAAGAACATAATAGGGAGAATTCGGAGCCTTGTAAGAATATCCTTATGATACCCACCATTTCTGATGTCAGTACTGTTGAAGAATGGAGATCAGTGGCAAAAGATATTGTTGCCAGAAATGGGAAAGTTAATTGGCGGGCTACCATCGTTGATTGGCCTGGTCTCGGTTACTCTGATAGGCCAAAGTTCGAATACAATGCAGATGTCATGGAGAAATTCCTGGTTGAGTTTATGAATGCACCTGATAGTCCAATAAGCTACTCAGGTACATTGTCTCTTATTGTGTCAACTATACATTGATGATAATTCTGAATGGCTTCAATGTTGCTGTTTTCTAATAAGTTCTTTCAATTGGCATATTCTGAATACTTTTCAAATTAGCACTCTATAGCATAGAAGGTGTTTGTCTTTGACCAATCTGTCTTGTTAGAGGGATTTTGTTTTGTTTTGTTGTTTTCTTTGATAAACATGTCAAGGATTCAATGGGATTTTGTTATAAGTCTGTATGAGGAATCCTTCTACTATTTTGGCACAAGGACTTTATTGGCTAATTTAGTAAACTAATATCCAAGCAGAGAATAGCGTTAGCCATACCTCCATTTATTGTTCAGAAATTTGTTATTGTCATCCAGATACCTGAGAGTCTTGACTCAGCTGCACCAACTACTTACTCATTGAGCCAATGGAACTACAAATGACTATTTAAGTATGGTAAAAAACCATGTCTGGACTCTGGATCTGTTTGATTTCATAAAAGACATGCTATTGTTGAATCACCAGGGCTTTTCTTTGATTCCAAGTTCAGATTTGAAATCATCTATGTGAATTGCAAATAACATGCATTCCTTACTTCCCTGATAAGTCAATTAGACCTTGCTTGCTTGAAAATCCTGTAATCATTAACAGGGTGTTAGGAAGTAATTGTTTGTGTTTGTAGTTTCAAGGTCATTCTTTCTTATGAGAGATTTTAACCCAGTTTAGTGTGCTTTAATGTTTAAACATGTTCTGGACTCTGGAGTTTATTTTCTTTGTATATTTTTTCCTTGTAGCAAAAACTGTTTACAGATTTTAGATGATGCCAGTGGCTTGGCAATTTATAATTCGAACTTTTACTTTTCTTGTGCATCTTATATTCTTGTTGTTGGGGCCCTGTTTCTCTTTGTATCTCTTAACCTTTTGGAAGAATTCATGAAGACTGTTGGATAGTGGGGTGGAAGTGGAAAATCCACACAGATTCTGTTTGTGATAAAGGGAATGAATGACTAGCCCCCCCNCCCCCCCCCCTTATCAGTCAATCATTGAACTGACAAGAAACATGGCTAAAATTCCACCATTCTCTGAAAACCACTTGGCTCTTTTTTCAGAGCTAAATGGGAAAAGTAGATCCCATGAATTTTCTACCACATGTTTTTCACTTCTGCCCCAATCAAAACAAAATTTAATAGACCTAAAAGGAGGTATTTAGTTGTCACTTTTTTTTTTTTTTCCTTTTTATACATTCTATACTCTTGTTGCATTTTATTGTCTTTGTTAGAACACATGTACATGTCTTATTAATGCAGTTTCTCCTCCTCTTCCTCCCACCAAAAGAAAACAAAAACAAATGAGAAAAAAAGGTAATAACTCTAATGTGTCACTAATGTATCATTTTATGTATACCAGATAATGAATTAGTAATTTTCGGTGGTGGGCATGCAGCCACAATAGTCCTTCGAGCTGCAAAAAGGAATTTAGTGAAGCCATCAGCTGTTGCTGCTGTTGCACCGACCTGGGCTGGTCCTCTTCCTATAGTCTTTGGTCGAGATTCCAATATGGAATCAAGGTAATATGAACTACATCTCCCTTTCTTGAAGGATGGCTTGTGAGGTGGATTTGAAATGTTAATGAATGTTTCCCATCCATTACATGCTTCTTGTTCTTCTTTCCCCAGGGTTATTGGGGGAATAAAGAGTGGCCATAAATAGGAAAGAAAGAGAGAAAATTATACTGCTTGGAACATCATTTAGTAGGAAACCGAACATGAGCTGATCCTAATCAATGATTATTTCATTATTTTGGATATTTAAAACACTGTATTTATTTAGATTCTCCCAAGGAAAGATAAATTCCGAACAGTGAGCACCATTTTCCTTTGTTGCGGTCTACAGGTATGGGCTATTGCGGGACACGCTAAGGGCCCCTGCAGTAGGTTGGATGATGTACAATGTGCTTGTCAGCAATGAGAAAGCTATTCAATCCCAGTACGAATCACACGTCTATGCTGATTCCAAGAACGTGACCCCGGGTATCATTGAGAGTAGGTATGCATTGACAAAAAGGAAAGGAGCACGCTATGTGCCCGCTGCCTTCTTAACAGGACTGCTTGACCCCGTGAAATCCCGGGAAGAATTCCTGGAAATCTTTGCAGCTTTAGAGGGGAAGATTCCGATACTAGTCATGTCAACTGCAAACTCGCCCAAGAGATCAAAAGCTGAAATGGATGCTCTCAAGGGAGCCAAAGGAGTCAGCAAATTTGTTGAGGTGCCGGGGGCTCTTCTCCCACAAGAAGAATTTCCTTCTAGTGTTGCAGAGGAGCTTTACAGATTCTTGCAGGAGAACTTTGAGACACAGTGCTAACAGTGTTGTTGCTTGGCTTTCTTGTTTGTAAGAGATGAAAGTAACGACACTGTTGATAATGGCATACGTTCCATAAAACAAATTTAAGTTGATACTATCTCTACCTTTTTTTTCCGCGTGTGTTTGTGCTGTTATAAAGGACTCCGAGGATTTTTTGTAAGTTTTCAAGAACCAAATGATTAAAAAAAAAAATGCATGTAGATCTTTTTTTTTTAATTTTTTGGTAAGCAAGAAACTTAATTAAACAAGAACCAAGCAACCAGGACAACAGTATGCAATAAGAAAGACAGATAAAAGCTACAACACCTAAAAAAGAGACACAAAACACCTAAACAACAAAGTCGCCCGAATCTGGAAATATGGTAGCCCATAAGTTAGTTAGGAAAGGGCTGAAGGAATCTAGGTTTTTTAGCTAACCAAGATTTGGTTAGTTCTGAACTGCTGTTTTTCTTTTTCTTCTGTTTATCTGGGATTGCTTTTTAATAAAAAAAAAAAAAAAAAAAGTCGCCCGAATCAACTAAAACCTTCTGAACCCAGCTGGAAATCTGGGAGAAGAAAAGTTCATTTGATATGGGATCCTTGACAAGTTGACAGCAAAACCATGGGCACCCGCAGCCTTGTTTTGAGTTCTGCAATGAGTGAGGGTTTTAAGTTGAGTCTAGTCTACCTTTTTGCATCTTTGATAAAAAAAACAGCTCAGAAGTCAGAGGGCACTTCGAAACTTAAGCTTGCAATTGTTGTGACTAGATTTTTACAATCACTCTCAACTTCAACTTGAATCTGGGCCGCTTCTACAGACCTCAAATGCTTAATGCCTTCCAAAAGAGCTAACGTTCTCAGCATGTAAAGGCGATTTTGCGTGGAACCTACCACAGGAACCAGCAATGCATCTTCCCCTGCAATTTCTGATGACCACACCGAAAGAAACTTTATTTCTGCCAAAACAACCTCCATCAATATTTACCTTTATCCACCCTGAGCCCGGAGGAGATAAAAAAAGATACCACTGCATCACTTCTTTTAGATGTCAGACATGCCTGTGGATTGACCGGCAAGCATGTCAACCTCTTCTGCACTTCTCTGTTACTACAATTTATAGAAACAAGAGGGTCTAAGTCAAGGATTAGGATAGTATAGGAATCGGTTCTGATCCCTAACTTACCACCAAACCATATGCTTTTTGCAAAGGAAATTGTTTCATCTTTCTCTGTGGATTAACCGCTGAAGCTCTATTTACACACTTCCATTCCAAAAGGACTTGACTTTCTACTCTACGGGTAGCTTCCAGATAGTGTGCTAGATTTTTTTTTTTTTTCTAGAGGACTTAACTTTCCATCTATATTAATGCATCTTATATTCTTAAACAAGAAGCTGAATTGGAAATTGGAATTCAAACCGGTAAGGTCATGCATTATGTGACTTGACCGCATGAAACTGTTTTGTATGAAGCAATCAATGATGGGTGAGGCCATGCTCACCGCATACTTCCGTAGTTCTTAAACTTAAACTATAACCTTCGGTTAGTTGGCACTTCGGCAGCGCTGTTACTGGCCAGCGATCATCTGTTTTGTTGTTATTCATTGTGTTACAGTATTTAACAAAAAGCTTGTTTTGTCAATTCCAACAAGCACAGTCAAGATGGCCGAGTTGGTCTAAGGCGCCAGTTTCAGGTACTGGTCCGAAAGGGCATGGGTTCGAATCCCATTCTTGACAATTTTTGATATATTTACAAGTTTTATTTCCTTGGTTAAGAATACGTTATTCATTCAACAAAACAGCCACTAATCCAACAAAAAGATAACTGAAAAGTGAAAACCATTCCCCACTACCCAGAAACCCCTGTAGCAAGGGCGTACCATACACTTCAAATGTGAATTCAAAGCAGTAGTTTCCAAATAATATTAATTTTAATATTTTGTTATTTAATGTTAGATTTTTATTATTTGAATAATATTTAGATTGAATAATCCAGAAAATTATTATTTATATTGTTTGTACATAATTTCGTCATGAATTTTATAAAAAATATATAATTATTAATAATATGAATATTATTAAATCGATTATAATTATTTTTTGTCTTTTTAATAAATATTTTAAAGTTATTATATAATTTTGTTAGAATATCTAAAAGATTCTCAAATTTTTAAATTCAAACTTTCTTTACATTGACTTGGTTGGCAAAATAACTTGCATTGAACTGAATCAATCCTTGAACACTCCTAATTTCAGTTAAATTTATAGTCTAATATCTAATAAATAACAATAGTGTAATCTCCGATAATTATTAAAAATTTATAGCAGAAGTACAAAATCGTTGAAACTAAATTTATAATGAAAATATAATAGATATCTAATAAAAATACAATAATTACAAAAATATAATAAATACTAAAAATATACTAAATTAGTCAATAAATAGTGTAGTCTCAAATAATAGTTTAATCTCTAATAAATATTAATCTATAAATTATAAAAAATTATATAGTTACTAAAAATAAATTTATAACAAAGATACAATAAATATGATAAATTAAATTTCAAAAGAAAAATAATAGTTGTTTAATCTCCAATAATTATTGAGAATTTTCTATTAAATAACAAAACAAAAATAGATTTATAAATAAATATTGAAAACATATTTGGATTAAGATACAATAAATAATTACTGAAAGTAAAATAAATATTAATTTTAGAATATATAAATATATAATGAATATACACTATCATTGTAAAATTATTACTAATAAATATAATTTTATTAAAAGTTATTTTCTATAATTATTATTTGATATAAGTGAAATTAGTTATTTACAATATTATTTAGTTATTGAAAATTTTAAAATATTAATTATTTATTGAATTTAATAACCATAAAATTATATTTGTACTATTATTACATAATTCATTATTAATTTTGTAAAACATTAAATTATTATTAATATGAATAATATGAAATCTATAATAATTATTTTTTACTTTTAGGAAATTTCTTAAATTTATTACATAATTTTGTTATTCTAACTACTTAAAATTTAGTCATGTTAAATATTTTGTTATTTAAATATTTAAATAATATGTAATTTATTTAAAACTTTTTGTTATTTGAGTTTTCTTTATTTTAATGTTATTTATGTAATATTAAATATTTTTATATAATTATTTAGCTATTTTTAATGTTTTGTTATTTAAAATATTTAGTTATTGAAATATTGAAATAATGTTTCATTTTTAATGCTAAATTTTTATTATTTGAATAACATTTAAATTGAATAATTCCTAAAATTATAATTTATATTGTTACTACATAATTTCTTGATGAATTTTGTATAAATATAGAATTATCAATAATATGAATATTAAATTTATTATAGTTGATTTTTTGTTTTGAATAAATATTTTAAAGTTAGTATATAATTTTGATATAATATTTAAATAATTCTGACATTTTTTAATTGAAACTTTCTTTAGATAGATATAGATAAAAAATAGGGAGATGATAGATAGGAATTAGAGATAGTTTAGGAGAGAATCTCTCTACTAAATTAGAGATAATTTAAGAGATAAATAGGAATTAGAGACGATTTAGGAGGAAGTGGGGGAAAGTGGTGCCACTTGTCTAAACATTAGAAAAGCAAATCCCTTTTTCTTTATGGTTGTTAGAAATAGTTAATCATATGTGATTTACTTATTGGTTTAATAAGTAATTATATGGAATTAAAAAATAAAAAAATAAAAAAATAAAAAAATAAAAAAATAGAAAATTAGGAAGGGGGTTTGGAGCAAGGAGATTGCATGGGGACATAGATAGATATACATTAAATGTGTTCCTTATACGTTTCAAATCGTCAAATGAATCTAACCACCATAATTTGTAGTTCAATATGGTCTAGACTTAAAATGGTTTGGTTTGGTTTCCTGAATTTTAGAAATTAAATCAAACAATGAACCTTAAACCAATATCTATCTTTATAGCGAGATGGTCCATGCCACCCCCACCTTGCATTCTTCTTGACTCTCCTCTCCACTTCCCATTAAGCCATGTCACCATTCCCAACCCAACTACCTAAAAATATTCCTAGAATCTCTCTCCTAATGTTACCCCATCAATTCCTAAAATCTCTCTCCCAATCTATATCTATTCTTTCTCATTTAAAATATTCATATTAATTGATAAAGTAGAGAATGACCCCATACTAAGTATGGGGTAACTAAATGTATGTATAATTTAGTTTGAAGTTTGCTATTTAGTTATTAGAAATTAAATAAAAAAAACTAATATGGGTCTTGCATCTTTGTAATGATAATACCTATTTTATTTGAAAATCATTATTAATTTATGTTTTTTTAATTTTATTTAAGATATTAAATGAGATCTTGTTCGTAAACAATAACCCACTTTATTTGGTATTTACTATTTATCTAATAAATCTATTTTGAGTTGTTTATTTTTAAAAGTTAAATTAGGTTGCTTCCTAAAAGTTAAATCAAGTTTGTAATTAATAAAGTATTTTCTTTTTGAAAAAAATCATTTAAAAATAAACGTGGGTTTATAGTAATCTTTTAATGGGTCTCACCATTTGTATTTAATAAACTATGGTTAAATATGCATTAAGCTAATAAATAACTGTATATTGAGAATGTTTAGAAGTGAAGCTACCCACTTTTTGAATCCAATTTCTTGAATTAATAGGATGCCGTGTATTTGAATGGTGGTAGTGGGCTGTTGGTTTTAATAGCAACTTCTCAAAAAATGCCACGTGTCTAGCTTCCCAGAAAAATGAGAAGGCCACATGTCTAAATGGTGGGGGTTATAGCCTAGTAGTGGGCTGTGGGTTTTAGTAGGAATTTCTCAAAAATTTCCACGTGCCTAGCTTTTCAAAAAAAATCAGAAGGCCATTTGTCTGAATGGTGATGTGGGTTGTGGATTTTAATAACAACTTTTCAAAAAATACCATGTGTCCAGATTTTCAGAAAATTGAGAATGCCATGTGTGAATGGTGGGAGCTGTAGCTTGAAGACCTTTCTTTAATATATATATAATTAATATTTAATTTAATCTATATTCAATAAATATTAAATAGTGTTATTCCCAACTGCAACATTACTTGACCGGATGGCATATTTTAAATGCGCTGGGCAGGTTGACTCATGTTTTAGCCCAACAAAACTAGTCCTAGTGACTGAGAAGTGGCAAATT